CACATGGCCTTACAGCTGTCCAATAGGAAATAAGGCATTAAGGTAGTCAAGTCAAAGTTGGTGATGAATTATGTCATTTATGGTATAATTTACCATGACAACTCGGCCGTCCCAACAAAGCGACCCTGAGCGCACCGGCCAGGTTGCCCCGCTAGTACCTACCGGCCAAATAACCCCACATTGCTATTCTGAATTTTTTGTCTACAAAGTCGTCATGACTGCACGGAACTAAATGAAATTGCTCTTGGAACCGCTGAACATCCCCCAGAATGGCGCTATAATGTCGGAATTCGTTTACAGTCCAAATACTACATGGTTTACAACTTTTTAAGCGGATGCAAAAGTTGCCATTTTCTAATGAACTTCACGTTTTATTTATTTTGAAGAAAACTATGAGGGGGGAAGTTATAATGACATTTGTCCTCGAGTTAGTACTACCCATGAGGAATGAATAGAGACTCGAGTTATTTCGATTTTACCAATTTACACCACCGGCCAAATTACCCCAACCTCTCCTACCTACAAGCCTGACATGTTGTTGACTTGACAAGTTGTCGTGTTGACGTCGGCAAACTATGTGCCGCCAAAGGCTAAAATAAAAGTAGCGTTGTTCTATTGAAGACTGTACTGAGTTTTCAGCAGGACCCATGTCCATTAGCGAATACCTACCATATGTTCCTTAGTGTTATGGCTTTCATGTAAAAGGAAAAGAAATATTGTAATGGCCGAAGAAATGTGTTTATCAATTCTCGGCTATTTTTAGGTTTTATCGCCTGTTTCACACGTCTTTTCCTTTCTACTTGTTTGCATTGATTGTACCTATCAAGATATAGAGAAAATGCTGAATGTAGGGGAGAGTACCCTAATTGCGCCCGCGAGATAAATGCGCCCTCCCAAGCTCCAGAAAAATTGGCACACCATAAGTACCTAGTGGTTGTTGCAAAAGTTGCCCACCTCGATCATACTTCCTTTTCCGGTGGAACCTTGGCAGAGGTAAGGCAGCATGAGCTTAAGCAACGATTTTGTTTAAATGTTGGGGTTTCTTAGCGAAAAAAGCATTCTTCAAAGCTGTAGAATAAGGTTTAGTAAATGTTTGCACACATGTGCTGCTAATTTTTCGGACAGATGGTTAATTTCGAATGATCTGAGCACCTCCATGCAAGAGATTGTGGCTGCGGTGAATAGGGACGCCATGTTCTGTCACACCACTACGTTTTTTCAAATGCGACCGGGGTAAATGCGCCACACCCGGGCTAATGTTAATGAAATGGGTAACATTAATAATGATGGCTAATATTCGAAAGGCTTAGTAGATGACAAAACCATAAGCAATTTGAGGTCACTGTGCACTTCTAATGAAATTTCTAGAAAACAGATGGTAAATTAATGAAATAATGACACATCATCCAACGCATTACCTACTTATCACTCTTTTCTTTACAGCCCATAGCTAATGCATGTATTTGCGGTGGGCGCATTTGAATTCAAATGCGCCATGGTGTGGGCGCATTTATCGAAGGTATTCGACAATTGCGCCCTTTGCAACACTTTCTAAAAAGACCGTGTCTGGCTAATTAGTTGAAGTATGCGATAAATTACTGTCTAAAAAAGGCAGGAAAAAGGTTTCTGAATATAATGTGAAAACAACAAACCTGTGCTGTCTTTGTATTCCAAGCTGAAGCCAGTTTCGCTTAACGTGGCGCAATATGGCCACTCTCCCCTAACCATTTCTATCATGTATGCATTTAATTTAGATAGTGGCGTTCCGCGTTCACTGCTTCTTGTGGTTCTTCCAACTAAAGTGACATTGGATTGATAAATAATTGATTACGTTTTCTCTCTCTCTCTCTCTCTCTCTCTCTCTCTCTCTCTCTCTCTCTCTCTCTCTCTCTCTCTCTCTCTCTCTCTCTCTCTCTCTTTATCTTTAAAGTTTTGATTTTTTGGTGTTGCTAATTATCCTTTTCCTTCACGGATAAGTTGGCTCGGAGTTCTGTCCATGCGCGAGTTAATAAAGGGCAAGTGAAATATTCTCTAAACGAGCTCAGCGTTCCGTTTCTGAAGGCTGTATTTCGAACGACAAGCGGATCAACTCATGGGCGCTGATGGCTTATCGCGTCAACATTGCCGCTACCGCCCATGGCGCTCACCAAGGAGACCTGGAAAGGCGACCACGAGCTGCGTGGGTCATCTCTGGGCGTCGTGATTGTTCCAGTGTATGTGCGACTTGCTTTGGCATGCAACTTGTCTAAGGGCCTTTCTTTTTTCTGTGTATTCTTCAGGCATAAGTGGCTCGGTTCAATGTCCCCACTGCGACTTCCGATGCTGGGGAAAGCAACGTCTGGACGGACACGTGAAGACAAGTCACGGTCACATCGACAGGAACGGCAGATTCAAGTGCGAGTGGTGTCAATACTCGACCGACAAGCCCACAAGCATGAAACGTTGCCGAAGGACTCACACTGGGGATAGGTCGCAATGCTGCTCCATCTGCACGGTGCGGTTCACTAAACAGTCCAACCTTACCAAAGACATGCAGACCCACACTGGAGAGCGGCCGCACGGCTGCTCTATCTGCCATGCACGGTTCACTCGACGGTCACACCTCACCAGACACATGCAGACACACACTGGGGATCGGTCGTATGGCTGCTCCATCTGCTCTGTACGATTTCCTGACCGGTCACACCTTACTACACACATGCGGACCCACACTGGAGAGCGGCCGTACGGCTGCTCCATCTGCACTGCACGGTTCACTGTTCGATCAAGCCTTAAAAATCACATGCGGATCCACACTGGGGAGCAGCCATACGGCTGCTCTATCTGCTCGGCCCGGTTCACTGAACGGTCCACCTTCACCAAGCACGTGCGAACCCACACTGGGGAGAGGCCGCACGGCTGCTCTATATGCATTGCACGGTTCGCTCAACGGTCACACCTCATCACGCACATGCGTATCCACACGGGGGAGCGGCCGTACGGCTGCTCCATCTGCATGGCACGGTTCGCTCGACGAGGGAATCTCATCAAACACATGAGGACCCACACGGGGGAGCGGCCGTACGGCTGCTCACACTGCCAGGCCCGGTTCGCTAACCGGTCACACCTCACTACACACATGCGGACCCACACTGGGGAGAGGCCGTACGGCTGCTCTATATGCACTGCACGGTTCATTGATCGATCACACCTCACCAGACACATGATGACTCACACTGGGGAGCGACCGTTCGGCTGCTCCATCTGCACGGTACGGTTCGCTGAACGGGGACACCTCAAGGCACACATGCGGACACACACTGGGGAGCGGCCGTACGGCTGCTCTATCTGCAAGGCACGGTTCACTCAAGGGACAAGTCTCACCTTACACATGCGTACTCACACGGGGGAGCGGCCGTACGGCTGCTCACACTGCCAGGCCCGGTTCGCTCAACGGGCAAAGCTTATCAGACACATGCAGACCCACACGAAGACTGGCAGCACTGCTGCGACTACTGTCTAATGGTTCAGCAGTTTGACGCAAAAACTCGATTTTAACTGGTACACAGTTTTGAGAATTACACAGGTTTGACTGATGCGGTAAATGGCTTGGTTGGCGAAATGCAATGCTGAAATATGCCGACAAGTGCATGACCGGCTGTCGTCATACGTTTGATATATTAGTGTTATTCAGCTTTTTACGCCCAATTTAGGGCGGCAGTGCGCACATTTCAGTAATAAAAGGGGGCGATTTCGACAGTATGCCATAGTCTGTCAATGGCGATTTGTCGCAATCGGTTGCACTATTATTGAGCTGCGTGCACTATGTCTATATTTAGTCGTAAAAAGGTGTAGCTGTGGTTCTCGTTTGTGAGCTTCTTGGCTACCCGTGTGAGTGTCACATCTTGTTTCTTTATGTTAACACACGGTGATTCAGTAGTTGTGTTCTTAACTATCCGCCTCCACATAGGAGTTAAGGAGTGTCGCTATTTGGTACAGTGTCGTAGCGCTGTGATTTGTGAATAATGTCCAGCTACTTTGAGGGACAATACATTTTTCGTGACCACCACTCATTCCTTTATTCGTAGCATTTCTGCGCGGCCTTTGTCGACAAGGCGAAGGCCGAAAGGAGATCGGCGTGGCATGTAAAGCTTACAATACCAGTATAACGCCTTTTGGGGCGACTAACGGAGCGAGCGAGAGGGTGGGCCTTGCACATGCGAAATTGTGAGGGGGTATCTCCAACTGACGTGTGCACAGCACCCTACTAACCGGTCTCCAGCGATTTGCCAAATTTGAGGACATGATCGGCCCAGCTGTTCTCGAGATCTGGAAGCGGCACCCTGCACGTGCGCACGTGCAAAATGGGTCCCAAGTGACTTTTGCACGGCACCCTACTAACCGGTCCCTAACTGCGTACCAAATTTGAGCGCAATCGGTCCTGCCGTTCTCGAGATCTGGAATCGACCCCTGCACGTGCGCACGTGCAGCAGCACCCCAACTCTGGCACATGGATAATGGATATGCATTGCCTAGTGGGTGCCTACCTACATGCCAACTTCAAGCGCAATCGGCCAAGTTAAGTTACCGAGATATTGCAACTATTACAAAACTGATACCCCTTCGTTTTGCACGTGGCACGTGCATAAGGGGTCACCCACATGCATCGGGAATAGTCCAATACTTAGTAGAAGGAATGAAGCTACCCGCTACAAAAATTACCGCATGTAAATCGGTAGAGCGCTCCCCGTCCTTTGACCTTGACCTTGACCTTGAAGGTCATGACCTAGTGACCTGGAAATCGCCGTCAACCTGCAATAAGGAACGAGGAATGGAATGAGGGCCTTTTCATCAAAATCGGTTCACTGGTTCTTGAGTTATTGCGTTCCCCGTCCGAATATCGAATTTTCAGTTTGATATTCGCGAATATCAATCTGCTGCTCAATTGATGGACGTTGATTTCGATGACCCTGAGCCTTGGATTTCGACATTTATGACGCAGTTTTGCTGCTACCACGTGAGAGCACGCGTCGTGTGATGCTAGTGATGCGCACTTCAACTTTGACTTCAACTTATTCTCATCAAGGCCATCTATAGAATTCTCATTCTGAGCGGACTCGCACAGAAAACGAGGGATCTTGATTTGGAGATTGAGATGGATCAGCATGGTAAGTTCGGTATAATAGCATCGACTCACTTTTCAAAAGTAAGTAGTACCTACTTACGTAATACGCATTCTTCCATTTTTAAAGTGACCATCCCACCTTAACATTAGTTTTGAGTTGAGATAGCCAAATTGGTGGCCATGGCCTTCAGTACCGGTTTGGGCACTCACAACAACATCGAAAAATGCTTAAATTTGGAGATATGGAATTTCAAACTTGCAGTTTTCGGATTCTAAGGGGCGACTGCACCGGAATGCCCCCTTAGAATTTGTGATGTCAGCGGAGATCTAATGATTTTAAATGTTTTACTAAAACATTTGGTAGCACGTTGTGGAATATGCTGTTTTAAGCGCAACAAGTGCCGCACTTTCAAAGAGTCGCTAGGAACAGCAGAGATTCCAAAAAGTAAACAAAAGTAAAAGCCTAATATCTTGAAATCCAGTGAATATTTTACGGTGAAATTTGGTACATATTCATTTTTGATATTTCCGAACCAAGGGACATCACTTCTATGCCAATTCATTAACTTTTTTGAAGGTGGGAGGGTCCCTTTAATGTGCTAAATCCAGATATGATGGTAAGGTAGGTGTCTCCAAAATATTAAAAAAGAAACATACCATAAAATGGGGTGTTAAGGGACAGTGGGGTGTTAAGGGACAGCTGCATGGGAAAACAAGGGTGTGCGAGACGTCGGCGGAGGAGGAGCTCGAGTTTAGCTGCGATCTCTCGCGCGTTACTGAGGGTGTTCGAGTTTGGGTTCATTGGTTTCTATTTTCTGTTTCGTTTGCAAGGCAAGTTCTTTCTTTGAAGTAAGAGGTGATGCAGTGATGGATCGGAGGCGGCCCGTAAAGCGGGTGCGACCTGACGAGTTTTTCTTTGACGGAGGAGAGTCCAACAACACAGGGTCTTTCTTGAAGGTAAAGTTGTTATCTGATGTTTCATTTAAATCAAAGGGATGGCCTTGGGTTCAGCTCGGAATCAGAGGGATACTGGGACCTGATGATAGGTTGGCTAAAGCTAGCCTCTTGGCTGATGGTGGGCTGCTGATGAGGACAAAAAATGAGTCTCAGACTTCCAAGCTTCTGAAAGTTCAAATGTTTGCAGGTGAGGAGTGTCAGGTGATCAGGGATGAACGGCTCAACACCTCCCGGGGTATCGTGCGGGCCCACGACCTGATGGAACTGTCTGAGGAGGAAGTAGCTGGGTGGTTGAAAGAGTTTGGTGTCACAAAGGTCAAAAGGTTCACAAGGAAGGTCAATGGGCGCACTGAAAGGACAGCAACACTCCTTCTAACTTTTGATGCCCCCACCTGCCCTTCTAGGATTTCTTTGGACTATGTCACTTACAAAGTTGACCAGTACATCCCAAATCCAATGATGTGTTACAAATGTGGTAAATTTGGCCATTCTGAAACGACATGCAAGGATGATCGTGTGTGTCTTGTCTGTGGGGAACCGAGTCATGAGGGAGAGTGCACTCCAAAGTGCATCAACTGTGGCAAGAGTGGCCACTCCTGTCAGGATAGGAGGTGTGAGATATGGGTCAAAGAGAGGGCAATATGTAGAATGAAAGTAGAACAAGACATTTCCTTTGGGGAGGCGAGGAAAAAATTTGAGGAACAAGCACAGAAACAGAGTCCAAAATCATATTCTGAGGTCCTTAAGGTACCACAGAGCTCATCCCCACAGGAGGAGGAACTGAAAACCAGGGTGGGTAAGCTTGAAGATGCAGTGACAGAGCTGGTGGGTTTGCTCAAGCAGGTTCTGGGCAAACAATTGGATCCCAAAGGCACAGACAAGGAGACAGAGCCTGCCTGCATCACTGACAGCGGTGCACAGGGTGTAGAGAGTAGTGGTGAGATTTCATGCATAGAGACAGAGAGTGATTCTATGGAGGTTCAAAAACATGGTGATGTTGACTCAGATGAAAGACCAGTGACTGGCTTTGACAAGGAGATTGGGAAGTGGCAAACTGTGAGGAAGGGCAAGGGAAAGAAGGGAGGCAACATGCCTGTCCTTCCAGCACTGACTGGGGATGACGAGATTTCGCCGTCCCCCGAGCTGACTCGATTCACTCGAGCCCCAGGGCGAGGTGAACGTGGTCGGCTCAAACCAATGCAGCGGGCCCAAAGTGCTTCGCGACTTCCTTCGTCCAAACAGTGTTGGCAAAACAATTCCCATCCCCCCAACTCTTAGACAATACCCAGCAAAAGCATCATTTCTGTGTTTGTGGTTTTTTCTGGCAAATATCGAACAATTATTTCCAGTGATTACAGTTGCCTGCGTTTGTCGCAGGTTTTAGTCGGTACCCAGATTATGTATTATTTATTTCCTTATCCTGATTTGCATCTGGTGTCTGGTTTCAGTATCTCATGTGTTATATTTGATTTTGTGGTGGTCGTCGTCAGTCTGCCAGGCGATCCTTTTTTGGGTCGGTTTGGCGGCGGGGCTGATGAAACGGGCGTGTTCCGTCGGAGCCGGGATGGTTCGACCGGCGCCCGGGGCAGTGGGGCAGGTCACGTGACCCGATGTTATCGCGAGGTCGGCGGGCCGGCCCCGGGGCTAGGCGTGGGCCCGGTCCTGGGGCGCGGCGTGAGCCCGACCTCAGAGCCGAGAACGAGCGCAAAGGTGACCTTGACCGTGCTGGGTACTTTTCCGTCGAATAGTTAGTTAGAAACAGCGTTATGGTTAATAGTGTGAGGAGTTTTACCATCATGCAATGGAATGCTCGTGGAATGATTGGAAAATGGCCGGAGATTAAACCTGTGCTACTGGAAAAAGGCAAAGATGTGATTTGCATCCAAGAGTCACATTTTCTCCCTAATGATCCTTATGATTTCCGCCTTAATAATTACACTCTTTATAACGCATTTCCCAATACGGACAGGAGACAGGGAGGAGTCAGTATTTATGTTAACAATAAACATCCCCATTGTCAGATAAATCTGAATACTTGTCTACAAGCTGTTGCAATATCGGTCCCAACTGGCAGATGTCGGCTGTGTATTTGTTCGTTGTACCTTCCGCCGAACGAGCGTCTTTCGCAGCAGGTTCTCAGTGGTCTGGTGAGCCAGCTGCCACAACCTTTTATTATATGTACAGACGCTAACAGCCGACATTACATGTGGGGCGCAGATCGTTGTGACCAGAGAGGAGTCATATGGGAACGAGTTATTCGTCAACACGCACTGAATATTCTTAACGATGGCAGCCCGACACGGCTCGATGAATACTCTGGACTATGGTCCCATATTGATTTAACATTGAGCACGGGTAATATAGGTCAGTACCTGCAATGGTGTACCGACTCTGATCTATATTCCAGTGATCATTGCCCAATATACATAACATTTGATCTGCCTGGAACTGACACCTGTCGGAACACAGATTTCACGGGATGGAATACTAATAAGGCCAACTGGTCTGAATTTACTGAGAAGTGCGACTTACGATTTTGTGAAGGAATAGGAATGGAAAACTGCACAGCTATGACCGAAGCCTTACTGAGGGCTGCGGAGGATAGCGTACCTATGAAACGGAACAACTCAAAGTACACTTGTCCATGGTGGACTGAGGAATGTAAAGAGGCGATTCGTAGTCGGCGACGAGCACTCAACCGGTTTCGTCGTAGCCACCAAACTTTACACCTCATGGAATATAAAGCTTCTAAAGCAAGAGCAAGGCGAATTATTAGACAGGCAAAACGGGACTCTTGGGAGAAACTGCTACATATGTTCAAACATACCACCCCTATGCGACAACTATGGGACATAATACGGCGTTTTACAAAGAAGGAGCGCTACCAGCGGCCATTGCCCGTATTATGCATCAATGGCAATATGACAGACGATCCCAAAGAAGTCGCTGACGTGCTCGGGAATTTCTTCTCGGGGATGTCGGCGTCCATTAATTATAGAGCTGCCTTTAGGGAAAGAGAGAGTGTTTTGCTCGAACAGCTTCCATCGTTTGCGAGCGACAACGACGAGTGCTACAATGACATGTTTACTATTGACGAATTGAGATGGTCAGTTTCCCATTGTGGAAATACCTCTGTTGGGCCTGATAAGATTCACTACATGTTTTTCAAGCAACTTAATGATGAGCAATTGACACAGATCCTAAAGCTGATTAATTACATTTGGCTTTCAGAGCGTCTTCCCGACACTTGGAAACATTCCATTATGGTGCCGATCCTTAAACCCGGGAAGCCAAGTCACCAACCCGAATCTTACCGACCTATACAGCTTACATCATGCTTCAGTAAGGTCATGGAACGAATGGTTACCAGACGGCTGGCGTGGTTTATTGAAAACGGAGGAATGCTTTCAGCCATTCAATGCGGATTTCGGAAGGGACGGAGCACAGCTGATCATTTACTACGACTGGAGTCCAATGTTAGACAGGGCTTCTTTTACAACCGGTATACTTTAGCTGTATTCTTGGATTTTAAGAATGCGTATAATCTTATTTCGACGGCGGCCCTGCTGACCAAGATGCACGCACTTGGTTTCAGAGGGCGAATGATGCACTTCATTCGATCCTACCTTGATAACCGAACCTTTCAAGTCAGAAATGGCTGCCTCTCCGATACATTTGAACAGGACAATGGCTTGGTACAGGGTGGTGTAATTTCTCCGGTGTTGTTTAACATCATGATAAACGACATATTTGATGGAGTCCCCGGAAACCCAACATGTGCGCTGTACGCTGACGATTGTACCATGTGGGTGCAAGGAAGGAGAATTGCACAATTAGTTGACCGAATGCAGTTAGCTCTCGACCATGTTAGTTCATGGGCTGACAGATGGGGCTTTGTTTTTTCACCGCACAAATGCAATGCCATTATATTCAGACGATATATGAAAGCAAGGGAATTAGCCACTGTGCCCCGATTGAGACTTTACAACGAGCACTTGAGCTACTCCGAGGAGGTCAAGTTTCTCGGGGTTTTGCTCGACACGAGACTGAATTTGAGCAAACATATTAAATATGTGAAGGGAAAGG